CGGAAAATGGCCAACAATATCCCTAACGTATTGAAAATAACTCAAAAAACATTCGTTAACCTTTTGGTCCACAATTGTCTCTAACGTTTGTTTTTGAGCTTAAACTAAACAGAATGGCCAACAATACTCCTAACATATTGAAAATGACTCAAAAATAACATTCGTTAACCTTTTGGTTCACAAATGCCCCTAACGTTTGTTTTTGAGTTTAAACTTAACAGAAGGGTCAACAATACCTCTAACGTATTGAAAATGAATCAAAAATAACATTCGTTAACCTTTTGGTCCACAAATGTCCCTAGCGTTTGTTTTTGGGCTCAAACTTAACAGAAAGGCCAACAATACCCCTAACGTATTGAAAATGGCTCAAAAATACCCTCGTTAACCTATTGGTCTTCAGATGCTCCTAACGTTTGTTTTTGGGCTCAAACTTACTCCTATATCTAACAGAATTAACCTGGTCAATTTTTTGATTTTAACTTCGCCACATGACATTTTCTTAACCCGCCACGTATATTATATGTATTAAATAAACCCACATGTATCTTTTAAAATACCCAATGACCCTGACCCGCTCTTACATATTTGGACTGTCGGCTAAAAATAATTACATTCGCTAGTTAAATATATTAAAAAATAGACATTTATTATATATAAAAATATGTATATTATACATTAATACAACAACAACAACAACCCAGTAAAATATATTATACATTAATAATTTAATATATATTTTACATCATATTATTTTTAGGAGAAATTATACGGTGTAGTTTTCCCTTCAAATTTTGCAGATCTTAACATGTTTAACAAATATAAATTTTAATTTGCAAACATAAAAATGATAATATTCTATTTATACGATTCTAAAGGAGAAGCAAAGAAACAAATGAAAAGGAAATTATTAAAAACCTTTAATTAAATACATATTCAACAACTTAGCACATTAATAGACTTCACATGATCTTTTCAATGGAACTAATAGTGTTTTAATATACAACAATAGAGCTAAAATATTAGCAAAAACTATCATTCCATTGTCGTATTTGCTTAATAAAATCGAGTTATAGATCATAATTAATAGAAAAAACTACACCGTATAATTTCTCATAAAAATAATATCATGTAAATATATATTAAAATATTAATATATAATAATATATATTTGATATATAATCAATGTATATTTTTTATATATATTTAACTAACGAATATAATTATTTTTAGCCGATCGTCCAAATATATAGGAGCGGATCAGGGTCGTTGGATATTTTAAAAAATACATGTGGGTTTTATTTAATACAAATAATACACGCGGCGGGTTAAGAAAATATCACATGGCGAAATTAAAGTAAAAAAAATTGATCAGGTTAGTTCTGTTAGATATATGGATAAGTTTGAGCCAAAAAACAAACGTTGGGGGCTTTTGCGGACCAAAAAGTTAACAAGGGTATTTTTGAACTATTTTCAATACGCTAGGGGTATTGTTGGCCCTTTTCCGTTTTGATAATGGTTCAGACCCAAAATATTTAATTTCACTCGCCTCTTTTATGTGTAAAACATGCGCGCGTAAGTTGTTAAAAGTAGTGTGTCTTAGACACACTTTTAAAAGGTTGAGTGTATAAGATGATTTTCGTCCGTAAAAAATATATAAAAGTGATTTGGTCCATAATTCATGAGTAACTTATATATTTTGCCCATTCTTAATAAAAGGTTTTAAATTCAAGATTCGATAATAAATAAATCATTGTGATATTTAATATTTTATGTTTAGGGTCAATTACATCATCAACTCTCGTTGTCAAAAAGAAGGTAAATCGTAGCACAATATTTTAAATGATAATTTGAATGAGACACATCACTAACTCATTATGTCAAATCACTTAAAAGGACAATAACCCTATTATTTTATCAAAGATCATTGACCTCAACATGTTGAATTTTTTCATTCGACATATCATTTTGTGAAACTTAACTATTACAATATGTTGAATCATTCAACATCTTGAAATACAATTTTTTGCCAAAAAGGTAATAGTATTAATTTTTGATGGAGCTGTATTGTGAATGATAATCTAAATACTGGAATTGGATTTAAAGCAATTTTCGTTGAGAAGTTATAATTTTTTATTCTCCACGTGAATTTCTCCTCTCTGATTGTTATTTATTTTTTGGCCACATACTCCTAATTGAGAATACTTTAATCTTTTCAATTAAGAACTTTTAAGTGTTAAAGTTGATTTTGTAAATAAGCGATTAAATGAATACATACTTTTATAAAAGTGTTGAAATCGATAACAAATAGTTGTAGAGTTTGATCAAATAACATTCTTTTAAGTACTTTTCTATTAAAATAATAAAAATATACACAAAACTATTTACAGAATATATATGTTTAATTAAAAGCATTCTCGCATGGAAAGGACAAATGGAAGAAATGTAATCGAGAGGGAGTTAGGAGTAACGTTTTGAGAAGGATCCTTTGGGAATTGCAAAAAATACATGGATAAAATAAAAAAATAAAAAATACTTATAAACTAAAAAATAAAGTTGAAATGACCAACTAAGAGCCCATTTGGATTGATTTATTTTAAGTGCTTTTAAGCCAAAATAACTTTTAAGTCATTTTATAATGTTTGAATAGAGTAAAAAGGTGTTCTTAAGCACTTATTTTTAAGCTAGAATGATAAAAAAAAATCAAAAGCCAAAATCTAGAATTCCTAACTTATGACTTAAAAACTATTTTGGCTTAAAAGTCGCTTAAAATAAGCCCATCCAAACGAGTTCTAAATACCTTTGCATCATTTTGGCTTATAAACATTTTTAGTGTTTAGAAAACTATATTAAATAGTACTTACACATCCGATAAATGGCAAAAATGTAATGTCCGAAATTTTATTTCAAGGAAATAATTTGGGAATTACAAAAAATATTATGGATAAAATTAAATAAATTTTTTTCATAAAAACAAAAGCGCTTATAAAGCATAAACTACTCATAAAAAAATCATAAGTTTGAAATGACAAATCAACTAATTTTAACTTATAAATACTAAATCTAACAACTTATGATTAGCTCACTGCTTACCCAAAACACCCTCTAAATTATCCATTATAAATAAACTTTTTTTTATATTCTGCAGTCTTCACCAAACAACTAGTATAAGACCCGTGCAATGCGAACAATTCTAAAAAATAATTATCATGTCAAAATGTGATTTAGTTTATTTAAGCACATTAGATCATATTAATTTTGTAAAATTCTAACTGTCAGCTCGTTTCTTAACTCAATCTATGATAATTTTTCATAACAAAATTATAATTGATTAACTACTACAATTATTTAAGTAAATATGGTCTCTTAAATTATATTACAAATATACCACTATTTTGTTGATATATCACATACAATAAAATCATACCATATGGTATATGTTGTATGATAAGAATATATATATAATAAATACATACAATATATGGTTATATAATATATCATGTGCCCAAATTTAATTAATTAATTGGTATATTATAAAATAAAATATTAAAAATGATAAAAATTTATAAAGATGGTACCACTTGACTTTTAAAACTATTTATGCTATTATCGTTACAAATAAATCTTTCCAATTGTCTGTTATATGATTGTTCTAACAAATGTTTTAATTAAAATACTTTGAAAACGAATTATATAGTTAGCAAATAACTTGTATGGTTTTATTTTTATTTATGACATTACAATCTGCATATTATTCTAAATTGTTACTCCATGTTGTTGAATAAGGTTGTCACATTCTTAATATTACAGTTCACCACACCCGTTTTAATATAATATTGATATATATTTTTGTTATTCTTGAAATATACTCTTTTCGTTCACTTTTACTTGGCACATTTTAATTTTTCACGTCCCTTAAGAAATAATAAATAAAGTGCATAATTTACCATGATACTCATATTAATTGATGCATATTTTATTGAATTTGAAAAAATAATTTAAAATGAGTAATAAATAACCATGGGTATAACAAGATTTTTTTTTTGTCATTCTCTTGATATGCGTAAAGTGATAAATAAAAATAAAAATATATTTTTACTATTATGTCAAATAAAAGTGAACGGAGGAGGGATAATATTTTTAAAACTTTATTATGTAGTTCACAGTTCTCCACTTGTCTATATTCACAAAACAATTTCGCTGAATAAGCCTCTTTAAAAGTAATTTTGACTTTTCTCCTCCAATTTTCCAGAAAATTACGTCATCGCTGACGAAGCTCCATTTTCCACTTTCAAAATTATTATACTCCCACTACTACTACTACTACATTATTATTTTTTATTTAAAAGAAAACAGAAAATTTCAAAATTCATTTGGATCCACAAATCATTATTCTATCATGAGAGTTGAGACAACACTGAACACCGAATAATATATATAAACTTTGCATAGAATCTAAATACCTTTTTACTACTGTCTCGTCCTCTCCGTAGAAAGCATCTAAAAGGTATCTCTTTTTCTTTCCACTCGCCATTTGAACGCTATCTTTCCTGCAAATCTGGTTGCTTTATTTTTCCTATTTCTTTGGTATGTTTTTTACTGATTTCTCTGTGAAGTTTCAAAAAGTATACTTTTGTTTGGTTCATTTTTTGAGGTAATCTAATACGAGTATTAATTTAGTTTTGTGATTACTTATGTTAATTGCATTATGAACTATTGCTTAGTAGCCGCTTCTGGGATGATTTTTGTTTATTTTTGGACTTGAATAGCATAGAAGTTTGTTGTTTTATTTTTATCTTTTATGATTGATATTTCTGAAGAGGTTGACTTCTACATTTTCTTCCCAAGACTTCAAATCTAGCTTATTATTTTGCCTTTTTTTCTATAAATATAGATGTTATGACTTATGTAGTTCCAATTTCAGAAATTGTCCTTTTGCTGGATTCATATTTTAAGGTGATTTACGGTATGCGTGATTATGCCTTTTTGTTTTGTTTTTGACGATGGTGATATTCGAGCCAGCTTGTGAGCACCTCGACTATTCCACCGGGTACCTGCTACCTCCCACCAGCATAGGCATCTTGGTAACTCTCCACCAAGGCAAATGGAAAGAAATTACTTACTGTTTTTTGCCTTTACCGGGATTTGAACCTAGACGTAATGGTTCTCCTTGCTATTCATTGACCACTAGGCCACACCCTTAGGTACTATATGTGATTATGCTAATTGTACTATAAACTGTTTTCTATTGCTTAGTAGCAGGTAGGTAACTGCACTGCTGGGAGGATTTTGTTTTTTGCATTGAAGGATTCTTTGAACTTTTATTTGTGTTGCTTTGAGATTATAATTACGAATCAGTTGACTTCTGCATTTTTTTTTTCAAGACTTTAACATTTTAATCTAGCTTATTATTATTTTTTGCAAATGATGTTAAATGCTGAAAATAAATTGATGTTGTGAGATTCCTATTTGTGTGGAAAACGAAAAGATATAGATAAAGATAATTCATGAATTAACTTCTCAAGTTAGGTTTGTATTGGGAAAGGTTGATCTTCGTTGAAAAATATACTCAGGGAGCAACTAATTAATGACTAGAGGTGTATCCAAGATTTTAACTAGGTGCGGAGTACATGATATCCATCACAACTCTCCAGCAATTGGTACAAATCTAGTTTAAGTATATAAGTTGTCCTATATAAATCACTGATCACGCCCAACTCTAGTCCTAAAAAGGATAAGCGGTCCCTTCAAATATAATTCGGTCTAAGAGTCCGGAGTCGAATCCCATAGAGAACTAAAGCTTAGCTACAACTGCTCAATATCGCTAAGAAACACAAGTTCAAACAATTTTCTAGTTATAAAGATTGTGATTTTTATGTATAACTAATTAACTAACAAATATTAAAGTAGTAAAACTATCAACTAATATACTAACGGTTGGAAACAAGATTAAGGAGGTTTAGAGTTATGATTTCCCAAATTTTCGGAATCCTTCCCACCAGGTCTCCTGCAATTTTGCCCAAGTATTCCCTACTGATTGTGAGCACTTCAGGTGTAATTCTCTTCCGAGCAACTACAACAATTTACTAGATATATTCTCCCGAACTACGTTTGCTGGCACTATCTTACCGCTCACTATGACCATGTCAAGGCTTTGTTATTCCTAAACCTACCTTTAAACCCGCCATATTGATTCCTCACATACCTTAGGAGTGACGTTGTTCAACAACCACCTAAATATGTACCCTATCCCAAGCAATTCATAATAAATAGGCACTGTTAATTGAGAGCTTTTCAATTAACTAAAATAAGCACGTAGTTGAACAAATAGAGAAATCTAAAAGCTCAATTATAACAAAACATATCAAGAATTCATCCGACAAAAGGGTCCATCAAAACCCTAGAAAGAAATTTAGCTACTCATAGTCATGCTAACAACCATGATAATATTCGAAAGCATTCAAATAGAGATTGAGGAAGAACGGAGAGAAAACTCTTGTGATTCCTTGCTTCCAAGTGTTGCCGTAGCCTTCTTGCATCTACAATAATGTCTCCCCTCTAAAAAATAGGTTTAGAACCCCTTTTATACATGTTGGGGGCGTGTAGGGTCGCAACTACCAAGTCCTAACCGAAATAGGAAAAATTCTCGCTTGGGCGCCACGGAGGGCGCTTGGCGCAAATGCCGGGCGCCCAACTCTGACTTGTGCTGTCTTTTGCATTTTGAACAAAGCCTGGCTCAAACCTGGACGCTAAAAATTATACTCCCTCTAAATTCTTTCATTTTAGCTTCAATTTGCGCACAATCCTTTCATATCACCTCAGATTGACCCCTACACATATAAGTATCATTGTTAAGCTCGAGTAACAAATATTTGCACTAAAGTTAACAGGATCGAGGCATAATGCAAGGCAATTTACATGCAAAAACATGAATTTTTAGCCAAACATCAATCATCTATTGTTGTTTTAACTTTTGCCAGGATTTGGACCTAGACCTCATGGTTCTCTTCGCTTTTCATTGACCACTAGGCCACACCCTTGGGTGGTATGTGTGGTTATGCTAATTGTACTGTAAACTGTTTTCTATTGCTTAGTAGCAGGTAGGTAACTGCACTGCTGGGAGGATTTTGTTTTTTGCATTGAAGGATTCTTTGAACTTTTATTTGTGTTGCTTTGAGATTATAATTACGAATCAGTTGACTTCTGCATTTTTTTTTCAAGACTTTAACATTTCAATCTAGCTTATTATTATTTTTTGCAAGTGATGTTAAATGCTGAAAATAAATTGATGTTGTGAGATTCCTATTTGTGTGGAAAACGAAAAGATATAGATAAAGATAATTCATGAATTAACTTCTCAAGTTAGGTTTGTATTGGGAAAGGTTGATCTTCGTTGAAAGATATACTCAGGGAGCAACTAATTAATGACTAGAGGTGTATCCAAGATTTTAACTAGGTGGGTGCGGAGTATATGATATCCATCACAAATCTCTAGCAATCGGTGCAAATTTAGTTTAAGTATGTAAGGCGTACAGTATAAATTTTCAACTGCATATGTGTAATTATAGCCGAATGCAGTGGACTGGGCGTGAACCTACCTGCTGCCTGAACTCTACATTCGCTCATGTTAATGAGTTGACCTATATCTTGCAAATAAAGCTGAAAAATTTATACTGCACTTGTCATTGTCAAATTATTTCACGACTCTGAATAGGGTGAAATGTGCTTGATACGCTGAGAGCAATAAGCTTTATATTCTTGCAGGACAAATACAGAGGTGATGCAGAGGTACAGGATTTTCATTTGAAGGAGAGGCAGAGTACAAGAAAGTATTGGGCTTGTAGAGGGTTACACGGGGTATCGTTAACAATGGCTTTCAAGCCATTGGATTGGTACTGCCAACCAGTGGCAAATGGCGTGTGGTCAAAGGCTGTCGAAAATGCCTTTGGTGCTTATACCCCATGCGGAACAAACACTCTGGTTATCTCTGTTTCTCATCTAGTCCTTTTAGCCTTGTGCTTATACCGACTATGGAAAACGACAAAAGACCTCACAGTCCAAAGGTTTCGCTTGAGGTCAAATTACTATAACTACATGCTGGGTCTGTTAGCTGCTTATTGCACTGCTGAACCTTTGTTTAGATTGGTCATGGGAATGTCAGCCTTGAATGTAGATGGACAACCTGGTCTTTCCCCGTATGAGGTAGGTCTCTTTCTATGATATAGTGTGTGCTTAGATTAAATATGCGGCTTGTGGAGCTAATACATTGGAATTGCATACTATGAATGTTAAAGTTCCTTTAAGGGTATGAGTTCAGTATGCTAGTACCTAGATAAATAGATTTTTTATCAGATGGGACGTATACAGATATCTATGTTTGAATTTTTCCACTTCTAACTTCTTGCCATATTATCATTCTTCAGATAATTTCTTTGACTATCGAGGCTCTTGCTTGGTGCTCTATGCTGGTGATGATTGTTCTCGAGACGAAGGTATATGTCCGTGAGGCCAGGTGGTCTGTTCGGTTTGGAGTAATATACAGTTTGGTAGGGGACGTGGTGATGCTTAATCTTATCCTGACTGTGAAAGAGTACTATAATGGGTATGTTGTTCCCCCACTTGGATAGTTCTTGAACTGATACAATTTATGAAGGTTTTTGTGTTTGTGTGTGTGTGTTGGGGGGGGGGGGGGTTCTTTT